ACCTGGCACTAGTGCCATCTAGTGTCGGGGAACAGAGTGGGGAGGGCTTTCTATAAAATGCCATTCCTGACCTTTCCACCAACAGTGCCATCTATTTTCGAACTGAAGAACTAAGCTTTCTGTAAAGCCCCCACACTCGAACTTTCAGAAGACTTTGTGGTCGGGACCGCAAGCAGAAACATTCTGAATGTTTCGGTGGAATAAGCCTATTTAAAGCCGCTGAGGGCTGCAACCGGGGTAGGGTAGTATTGAATTGGCGATACAAGTGAAGCTTCGGAGCGAAATAAAGTGAAATAAAGTGATCAGTGCGATTAATTATTAGTGTGTTTTAAGTTTTAATTGGTGTTCGGGAAAAAAGAGTGTCAATTTTGGTAATTAAATCGGCAGTTATTACTGTCACGAAACCTAAGCTCATAACAATACAAAATAATAAACGTTGGAGAGTTGGATAAAACTGCATACTGTAAATTAGACGCGGCCTGACCTTAGATGTTGTGTTAAATTTAATATTAATTTGAAATCAAGTTACTGTAGCTACTACCACTAGGTTATAGGAGTTTAGATTATAATATATATCTATATATATATTGTTTTATCATATATATATATATATATATATATATATATATATATATATTTTAAGGCATGGCTTTTTTTTTTTTCATTATTACTACAACCCAATCATACAAAAAGCCATCGCCATTTTCCATTTACATTGATGTGGCAGCGTAAGGATTCCATCACCCCATTTCATACCACGGCTGCCGTAAAGTGAAAACATAGGAAACACTAGTAAGAACACATTATCACCGATGAATGACGGTAGAACCTAAGACGACGTGAAGCAGCATTACAGGTACACACATGTTACTGCGATAGCCAATGAGCATATTAAGCTTGGCGATAATGACAAATCCTTGTAACGGACTGATTAAGAAGGTAAAGAGGATCTTCTATTCGTTTTTGATTGTGTTACAGGTATGTTGTATAAACTGCAATCATAGACTGATGCATTTGGGATTGCATTCAGGCATAACACGGCAGCAATTTAATGGAAGAGTGCTCACGAGTGCGGCGGACTATTGTTGCAAAATCATTGACCGCTGACATTATACCAAGTCATAAGCGAAAGCGAAAATTATTATTGAATATTACTATTGTGCCAATATGATCAAGGAAGGTGTAGTTTTGAAATTACCAAAAATTATATAATACCTAAATGGGCTAAAAGAAGTATCATAAATGAAAGTTAGCAAAATTAAAGTACTGGTCAAGATTGGAGCTAGTTTAAAAGCGATCCCTTTAATTACATAGTACGTAAACAACCTCAGTTTGATTTGTTAATTGTCTTTTTGAGTGCTCATTTCCTACATGCCTGGGGATGGGAGGGACAAAAAAAGACTCAAGGACATGTGAAATTGTAACCAAAATGCTATGTGGAAATGAGAGATTGAGTTGCCAGCATTGGGACATTTATTTATTTTAACTTGTATAACTACTATTCTTACTAAAATCTAACCTGTGTGAACATACTCAAGTATTAATAGAATTACTTTTGAGAACCGAATCGTTTAGTGATAATGTTGTTCACCTAGGCTGTTGCGACAACATGATATGAGCGTCGGAAGTTATTAAATACGTGGAAAACATTATAGTACACTTGAACAAATATCACGAGTCCTGAGCAAAACAACATTAGTTAGTGCAAACGAAATGTTGATTGTACTAGGTGACACCGTAGCATCTTGGATTGTAAAATCTTCTTACTGTTGCCAAGTAGTATTGTTCCGACAAATAGTATCTTCTATTGTGTTCAAGTATAAAGTGTAATAGAGCCAGTATATAATAGGCCGTAAGGCACTCTATCTTAGCCCTCAAGGAAGATGGGATAAGTTGTAGTTGATTAAATGTGTCGGCACTGTAAGCTCGATTTTCTAGTCTCTATTATTTAAAAATTCGTTTTTGTTAAAATGTCAGCAAAGATCTACGCTTCGTATCAGCAAAACTGCGTTGACTATTATTCTGTTTTTTGTATAGGTGTATAAAAATTATAATAATATAAACGCTATCTCTTGTCGCCTAAGCCATAATATATCACAAACAATGAGCAGGAAGATCACACACGGTCTTTTCATTTATTACTTTGAATGCGTTTACACGAATGACCGACCATTATGTTAACGCCGTAACATAACCGTATATGTGCATAATGCATTCGTTGTCATTCATTCTCTCAACAGGCGGTAAGACAACGGGAATAGTAATTGTAGCCGCGAATGAGCTTAATGAATGAGAATGTATGTTTTATTTATCACGGAAAAACAATGTTGATACAAAGAAATATAAATCATTCAATCATACATATGTATATATGTAAACTTTCGACATATGTATATATGTAAAACATCGGCAAACTTGCAAAGTATTAAATTTAAATGGTATTTTGATGTTTTACTTGAATCCGCATTCAGGTTTTTTCTGTTTCCTATTCCATAAATACGTTTTTAACTTCCATTTTTTTTTTCAAAATGTTGTTTTCTTGGAACTACTTCGACACCCTTCTTTTGATCAATTCTATAATCTAATCAGATTTTTTAGTCAAAAATGACGACGATTACCGAGAACTGCATCAAAATCGGTTGATTCGTTCAAAAAATATCGTTGTCGAGAGAAATCTTGAAAAAGTGTTTTTTTTTTCAAAATAACTTGAGAACTTTCCGTGAAATAAATATTTTTGTAATACGCTTTTTTGTTAGTCTGAAAATTCAATACAAGTCAATTGCCGTAAATCTCATCAAAATCAGTTGATTTCTTCGTGAAATATTCAATTTAAAAATAAAAAAATAAAAACGTGGATTTCCAAAATTATCACGTTTTTGAGTTCTTGGAGCTCAATTAGTGGAATTTGGAGCGCTTTGATATTGATATTAGCGGGAAATTCCAGGAATGGCCTGAACGGTCAACCAATTTTTTTTATAATGATTTCTTATATTTACGCGAACACTACACATTGAAATAATACTAATTTTTACGGAATTTATCGCGTATATTTAACTTTTTTAACTTTTTTTACCCGACGTTTCGAGAGCTTTACAGCACCCATGGTCACGGGTGCAGATGCACGGATGCAGGAGTGTACAAGCTTGATTGTGAATGTGGTCTCTCCTACATAGGACAAACTAAAAGATCAATTAAAACCCGCGTCAAAGAACATATAGCTGATGTGAAGAATCGACGCTCCGGGAAGTCTGCAGTCTGTGAACATGTACAGGATCGCCCCCGTCACTACATCAGATTTGATAGACCACAAATCCTCGCTAAAGAACACCGATTCCTTCCAAGGATGATTCGCGAGGCTATTGAAATCAAAAAACATCCTAATTTCAATAGAGAAGATGGCTGGGTGCTACCATCTGCTTGGGATCCTATAATAAATAAAATTAAATCCCAACCCAAGCATACAACTGCAAGACTCCATGATACCATAAGTTCATACTGTGTAGATCGGAACAAAAGTTAAATTTTAATCTATGGTAACCGCGGTTAACTATGACAGCTGGACGTTGAACATCTCAGTCCTTCCCGTGACCATGGGTGCTGTAAAGCTCTCGAAACGTCGGGTAAAAAAGTTAATAAAGTTAAATATACGCGATAAATTCCGTAAAAATTAGTATTATTTCAATTTTTTTTATTATTCTTTGAGTTGTAATCGTGAAAACTGCTGCTCATCTCTTATTTCATTTTCCTTTGTCTCTTACTGTACTCACGGGATGATAAGATAGTGAATTTTCTTACGCCGTCAGTACACGGCTACCACAATAGAAGCCTAACTAAATATCACAAAGGTTATTATTAAATAGAAGTCGCTGACCCTTTGTTCGAATATTAAACGATATTTTTCATTACCGACTACACTCGATGTACTCAAAGATAGTTCATCAAGGGTGTACTTGAATCCTTATCTTTTTTAAGAGAAAACTTCTTTAGGCACGTTGGGCACTTTTTGGATGGGGATAAGTACTAAACTCGCGTGTCCGTCACGTGCAGATACATATGTATATACAACAACAATATTTTCAAGTTTTTGAAGCTAAGTAGTTTTCACTTTTATTGTGCAGTCCTACGATTTACAGTTTCTAATAGCCCTTTCTTAAAGTTTTTTTTTTTAAGAAAAAGGCTCAGCAGCTCCAGAGACTAGGCGTTTGGATGTAGAGTTGCACGACCACGGTTTCAAGTTTTGCAAAGAAGAAGTGTTTATATGGTGGTTCGGCCAGTTTAATAAACAGCCGAAATTTGTTTGTTTATTTGTGAATACGAGAATTGTTTGGATGTCCGTGTATTTCGCGGGTCGATGTGATTCTCGCTTACTATTGGTCCGTTTAAATTACGGACATCTTGTCGTCACGTGATCAACATAATGTCAACGCCGCGCGTCGTGTGAAAGGGGGACGTTTTTCGCTGCTCCCAAAATATATGTTCTACCGCAAGTTCCTCCCTGAATTGGATCATCGTGAGTGACCGAAATCCGTGTAGCTGGGATCTCCGAAGAAGCACACGAGAGCAGGAGCATCCGCCTCCGTATATTCAGGTACGTCAGACCTTAGTAATATTGTCTAGTCAACGGTGTAGAGTAGAATCAGCTAGCGTCTATGCAAATTACAGTCCATTTCCCATTTTCCACCATATGGTCCACAAATAATTGTTCCGGGTCTGGGTGTTTGTCCATGTGCGATTTACGCACACGAGAACAATACAGGAGAAAATACTGCTGAGGGGCTAGAGTTTTTTTTTAAGAAAAAATATGCCAATACCGAAGTTCATAATTATGTTGTGAAGATTTGACCCGATACTGAAGTCTTGCTTTGATGGCATTTGGCACTTGTTCAGCATTTTTAACTTGATATTTGTCGACAGGCTGGAGACGTTAGCATTTAGAATTTTTTTGATATCCCTCTTGTAAATGCATATTAAAAATATATATTACAAATAAATAAACTTACCGTTAAAATCAGCGTCATCAATGGAATTTTGGCTGTGAATAGAATATCTATTCGTGGTTTTCGTAGATGGTGATCCTTGGGTAGACCCAGCGACCACACCCAAGCTCCTGTAACCCTCATCAGATACTTCTGATCCATTGTCCGATGCACTTTCTGTAGCCGGAGCGGGAGAAACAGGCCTGGGGCTCTTATTCCTCACCGCATGAGGCGATGGAACCAAATGATTCGTGGGGACGAGCTTAGGTCTTCGATCTGGGGATGATGAGCATCTTCCCGGGCTGTTTGGGCGAGGAGTCAAATATTTTCTACTGGGGGAGCAAGCTCTGTCCACCTCTCCCATATAGGGAAGACTCGATGGAGCGTCGAGTTTATTGTTGGAATGGTACTGTTGAGCTTTAGGGTCTTCGTTGTAGACCTTTGGAGAATATTGTAGAGACATAGGTTCATATGATTTTTCGTTCTTCGTGAAGGGTAGAGAGGTCGGACCGGCGTCGGGGCGTTCGTATGTGACGGTAGCGCCAGCCAGGTCTTGCTTGGGTCGGGCTAAGCGAGCTGATAGTGAAGTGCGATGCTGTGTGCGGCATCTGCAAGGATCGTGCTTGTCCAGGTAGTGGGCAAGTGTGTCCCAACCACCGCCAACGCGTACCATAACGTGGGAGCGAAGGATCTGTAACAAATATAATACGTGTTACATTATTTATTTATATGTAATTTACCATTTATATTTTATGCATTTACCATTAACCGTTTGGTAAAGCAGGAGCTAAGGCATTTAACTGTAACGCTAAGTATTCGAATCTTACGTAATTTTACGGGACATGTAATTTTATGACTCACATAATATGTTCCACCGTGTTCCTAATGAAAAGCTCTTACCATTGAAATTTATACATTGTGTTAAGGTGTAGCCTATATATGTCCAATCCTGGGCATAGTCCTCTCATTTCTGAGAGAGATTTAGTACAAAAAAACGACCGACGCGACGCTTTGCCCCAATGATGGGTGTTGGCGGCTTTCACATTTTGTTATTTATTTTTTTATTTTTCAGATAAACCAAAGGATATTTTACTTCAGGTATATTTTACTGCACGTAGTCAATCAGGCCTACATATTGTGATATATTGGTGTAAATATAACAAAAACATTGTCATATTATTTTTTTAAATAAGATAAACGTGATAAAGTGGCAAACGAGAACACAGTCCAACTGATGGTAGGCGGATGCTGTGGCCCATAGACATCTACATCTATCCTCGATTAACAATCAAAATGCATACGCGTTGTAATCCCTAAAGATAAGATCAAATGCCTCGTAACCAGCAAAAAGAGTCTTCGGTTCTCTACACTCACCATACGAAACATAGCAGCATTAAGCTGCTATTTAACGCTGATATTCTATGTGATCCTTCCCCGGTCGAACCGACTCATTCGTGCTACAACCATAATATAGTTGCAGAATTGCTTTATCACGTAGTCAGTTTAAATGTTTAGGTATATATTAAAAAAATCCACAACACAATCAAGGGAGATTACGCTCTGCAACTTCGCCATACTAGGAGCACATCTGTAAGTGACCCTGAAGCATCCACAAATCAACAAATATGACGTGCCCAAACATTTCTATTTCAGTCTTCAAACACCGATTTATTATTTATTAATAACCTCACAAACTTGTTTCCATTAAAGTCTCGCGGATCGATGATTCATGCCTCTACATACGATTCCATGTTTGGTCAAATGGAAACCCGCTTGATATTGTAAAGAAAACGTTAGGAGTTCGACCTTTATCACTGCCACTTCCCAACGACCTTTATAATCAAAGCTTTTGTTGTACGAGACAGGTCATTTTACACTTGTATTTGTTTATTTTTAACCAACCTACAATGATTGCTAGTAATAAACTTATGAATTGTATTAATAGATCAAAATAGATTGGTCGTTTCGATCCAGGGTATTGATAGCTCCATATAAAGGGTAACAAGGCGAGGGTCTAAACGAACGAGGTCACGAGACACTGGCGACCGATTGAATTGAATGGACCACTCAAGGTTGCTCCTAGTTGCTTTCCCACGATGTAGCAGATACAAAGCTTTCAATTTTGCATATGCGGGCACACCTTGTTTGCATAAGAAATTCCTATTGCACGATTATAAATAAAAAGATATTGAATATAATAAGCTTTTTTACCACTTGCGAGTCTGTTTATAGGGACGATCGTGTTCGTAATACGATAGAATTTGTCATAATTTTTCAAGCATAGAACAGATCCGCGATTGTAGAATTCCCTCCAGTCTAAAAACGCTTTATTTTCAAATAATTGAATTGAATTTACTTACACTTTTTACTCTATCAGATAATCGAAAGAAATCAAAAATTACATAATTTTTAAAGAACATCGGGTACAGTTTAGTAGATAAAACTACTGAAATACTATGGATGTCGTGACGTATGCATAAAAAATGAATACTGAGCTAATGAAACTCTACCATTAATTCCTGCATCACCATCATCATTCAATTTTTTTAACGATGATTTTAATCACGAACGATGATGATGTTGATGAAGGATGAAGCTAAAATATTGTATGCAGGAAAAATAAATACTTACTGAGATATCGCTAACTCCACCACTAACTCCATCATAATCATTACCATTATCGCCTAAAGCAGTCCTGAGCTACCTGCATCCATTAATTATCCTTACGAATATTATGAAATGCATCAGCTCCTTCCTCCATTTGATTCGTAAAAATGAGATATATTTATCTTCATTACAAAATGATTATTGGGATTACATTGAATGGCAGTTCAGATCGATAAATGGTCTAATTTTGTACAAATTATGCAAAACTATCGAGCGATTACATCGTTTACCATCATCTGTTTTCTCACCTACTGATTATTATAATCACTGACACATAATTATTATTCAACGTCTATAAACTGTGTTAAGTTATTTAAATTATACACGCGTTAATAGTGTGACTACGTCGCAAGAAAACGACGGACAAGTTTTAATGAAGTACGATTAGAGTTTAAGAAATGTCTTTTTTAAATTATCATAATATTATTGATGGTAATTTACGAAATAATAACATTAGCGGGTAAAATTCTGTTTGATTATATTATTTAATAATTGCAATTTATTAATAAAATTTCTGGAAATAATTTTTATAGCTTAACATTTTTACTTTATCTAAATTCTACTGAGTAATAACCACCATCATCATAACAATGGATCACAAGTTCACTCCTTAAAGATGGTAAAACTACAGTCTCAAGCTACCTGCATCCATCGAATTCTTGCATCTCTTACCGCTATGGAACTCTCATCGGCTGTCGGTTCTTTGAACTATATGGTGAAACTGTTGCCAGTTCAGTTTTTATCGTTATATTCATATTGAAGCCTATGCAGTACCTATATTTATGATTTTGTTACACAGTTCCATTTTCCGCATTATTCATGGTGTTACTACAATAATCGACGGCAACAACATGCAATGTCGGAGGTACGGCGACGCTGTGCCGACCGGAGGTGAGCAGAAAACAAATAAACACCGTGCACGAGATCGATTGACCTATTTATATTGATCGTAGTTTATTCAGTGGAATAGCACAAGTTGACAAATAAGGCGTTATTTGAGCGAGTTTTAATGTTCCGAGATTAGACGTAGCAATTAACTAATGGATAATATATTTTTAATACACCGTTATTATAAAAACATAATATTTTGTAATGGTTTTTATGTTGTAAACATAAGAAATACGTAGTATACATTCTATACGTGGTAAAGCCCAGCTGCAGTTATATTTAGTTGCAGCACGAACGTGTCAGCTCTACCGGGGAAGGAAGTTCTCACAGAACACCAGTGCGAAGTAGCAGCTTCATGTTTTATATGATGAGTGTAGAGAACCGAAGACTTGTTTTACTGGATACATTTGATCTTAGTCTTTAGATATTACAACGCGTATGCATTTTGATTGTTAATCGAGGATGGATGTAGGTGCCTATGGGCCACAGTATCCACCTACCATCAGTTGGACTGTGTGCTCGTTTGTCACTTTATCACGTTTATCCTATATAAAAAATTGATGTGACAATGTTTTTGTTATATTTACACAAATATAACACAAGCCGTGGTAGCTCTGATTGACTACGTGCAGTAGAAGATACATGAAGTTAAATATACTGAGGCTTGTCTAAAAATTAAAAAAGAAAAAATATTTCAAAAATATGTGAAGGCCGCCTCATTGGGGCAAAGCGTCGCATCGGTCATTTTTTTGTACTAAATCTCTCACAGAAATAAGAGAGTGAAAGGTGATGACATGCTGAAATGCAGGCTTTAAATTTCCCTCGATTCCAGTCAATCATCTTCAAACTCTACTTACAAGATTATATTTAATTAAAAAAATAACTCACCCTGACAAAGATCAGAAGCCTGGTGTCACCAATCCTGTATTTTCCTTCAGACACCCTGACCATTGGGAATTGTGTGGGACAAGAGCACCTCTCTACTAGATCTCTAACTCTCTCGTCTAAACTTCTCAAGTCATTTGTCACCAACTGTCGTTGCGGGCCTTGGGGTACTAGTCCCAAGGCAGAATCATCGGGTCTCAATTCCTCCCCAGCCAATTCTCTTTCAATCTGTTTCTCCATTTGTACAAGTAGAGGAGCTGGCATGCCAAGAACTGCGCCCTTTCTGGCCACTTCAAGGAGACAAAGAACAACGTGCTTTTCATTCTTTCGCAGGCATAAGTCGTCTGTTTCGAAAAGAAGGCATTCTAATATTCCGAGGGCTCGGCGACACCATTCTATGAAGTTCGAGACGTTGTCTCTGGCAAAAAATGTTCCAGCTTTGGCCGCTGGGAGCATGTTGACTGGAGGTCGGGAGCGGAGAGCTTTAGCGAGGGTCACAGCATCTTCTGTTTCTGTTGCGGGTGACTCTAGAATAAGACGGGCAGACTCCCTCACTGCATTCGCGTGCTGTAACAAAGTGAAAATTATTGTCGTTATTTGTTCATTATCCAAAAATAAATAAACTGTTTAAATTTTTTTTACTCAAGTGACATTCACCTCCACCTGATGGTAAGTGACAAATGGACACTAGCAGCCATCTTCAAATGAAGATGGTTACAAATTCATTGTCACCTCTGAGGACTAAGATGGAATACCTTATAGATTGTAATAACACTAGCTCTCTATATAGAGAGCCAGTAATGGGTATATAACCTTTCTCAGTATTGGACATATACCCTTTTCAGCCAGTAAGGGGTAATACCCTTCTGACGGGAACACAGCAGTCCAATCTCTACTATTATCGGCAGGAATGGGTAAGACAGACAGACTTCAGGCAGAAAAGAAGTAATAGCACCTAGTAGGAGATGTAATGCATTAGTATCATTATATATATATATATATATATATATATATATATATATATATATATATATATATATAGTCCACAAATGTGTATAATTTGACGCATAAATTATTTTGCCATATTAGCATATTTTACGTTTCAACCCATAACAGATGCTTAAAATTAACTCTACAATAATACGGAGGTCGTGACGAATTAACTACACACAGCAGCTCACGGACAGCGCTCACGCCTAATGTTTTGACCTTAGGTTGTAAATTCGCATTGCTTGGTCCAAACCACTCCTTATTATACATACATTTAGGTAGCAGTCGTTAACGTTATACCATTGGAGCATTGATTTTCATGGCATCCAACGAAATTGCATAGTAATTGTAACCGCGAGAAAGAGTTCTGACTTGATATATCGCTCTGTCGTGAACGTTCTGGGTACACATCACATAGCATCCACTGTGTACTAGAGACCCGTTCATCTACCCTTGATTTACAATCTAAATGTTGATGATTTGTTACAACTGAGGACTAAAATGTAATACCACGTAACAAATAAACGGTGTCTGTGGTTTTAGTCACCATTCATATGCGTTACGTTTTTGTTTTACATTTGAAATCGTTTGAAACAGTTAAGTGAAATAATTTTAGCGCCGTGTAACTTGTTATGTAAAAAACTCTCGTTAACATTCATGACTGCGTGTTTACATCTCAATGTAGAAACTGCAGATATCTGATTACTGATACAGTAATTTATAGGGTTGTCACAGCGGAAAACAAATTATGTTAAATATTAAATAATAAATACATAATATTTCTTAACTTTAAAAGACTGCTTTAACTGTATGTATTACAAAAAATATATTAATTGTAATGGGCGGGTGCGATTTAGTGTGTAAACTTTATCACCCACTTTTTGTCTATAAATTTTGCACGCATTCCATCAAAGTTTTCAGAAAAAACAACAAATCAACAGTTTAATTTTTAATCGAAGATAGATTTCTACTAGTAAGTTCGCGGTCGAAAGTATGGACCGTAAATTTAATATTTGTGAATTGAAATCCGCCATCCAACTACTGTCTTGAACCGCTTCTAACACAGCATTTTAAGCAGACCAGAAGTTATTAAAGGGTATATAAATAATTTCAATATATGCTAGTATTAAAAAAACATGCATATTTCTTCGGGTCACAGCATCCACTGACCGTCAAGTAAGCTGTATGCTCGTTTATCACCCTATTTCTATTAAAAAACGTAAATAGTTCCCTAGCATATAAACATCCTTTGTTTCCTTGTTTCAAACAGTATAATAACACTCTATGAACATAAAAAGAAGGCGATGTTCGTATATACAAAACTTTCAAAAGGGAAGTTAAACATAAAGTAAAGTTATAAAGTTAAAATAATACAAAGTTTTTTCATCAGCCCGTTAACGTCCACAGCTGGGCATGAGATTCTTCCCGTTACCGCTACACCCTATTATAATCTACTGCTGAACATATGCCTCCCCCATAGATCGCCTCCTAGGGGAGACATTTGCCAGCGTTATTAGGAAAACACCGCTGTCCATCTCTTTTGTTTGATTTGGTTCTCTATCACTTCTTACTACGCTAACGGGATGATGTAGGAGACTGAATATTATACAGAATTTTTCCGTTATGGAGGATTTGCCTCTATATATCTAGTAACGTTTGGCAGGCCGACTGATGATCGTAGTATCTGATGTCTCACTACTTTGAATCTAATGCCGATATTACGTCTGGCGTACACGAGATGGTATGCCGCCACCTTTCTGGCATTTTACATAATTGCCTATTACAAATCCAGGAGGCGAAATGGAGTAACGGATTCTCTTGAGCCGCCACCACACGATCACATACGCAACAGGAATGAAAAGTATGGATAAAACGATTGATATATCGTCGTGTCAATCGTTATTGATCGCATGATTTATTGCAAGAAAAGTTCAATAATAAAAAATTGACTACTCCTTGCTTTGTAACTTAATACGCCTATTAAACACACGTAACTGAATTACATTTAATGGTTTTTATTGTGCTGTTCAATTTATCTATTTGCTTTATAACATGGCTGTAATAAGATTTAAAACAATTAAAGATTACATTTAAGAACAATTAAAGATAATTATTACCTTGTTTACCATTTATGTAGCATGTAAATCTAACAAAAGTAGAAGAAATTATTCTTCTTTTTTATTCAGTAATAGACTCCTTACGGTTCTACTATTGCCAGTGCCAAAGTAGTATGTTTATTTGTGTATAATTAATTGTATATTATGAAAAAAAAACTAAAAAATGGAAAAACTGCCCACTTTCACACAAGCACGGGAAGACGTGAAGATACGGTAATTTATTACACAAGATGCTGAAACATGAGCTCGTTGAAGTCTTTTACATGCAAAGCGTTTTCATCATTATTCCAAGATGTTGGACAAACACGCTCTGAATTTATAATTGCTCTTGTGAATGCAAGTGTAGGGTGTAGAATTAGAGCTTTTGACGATTGTTTTTAAGGGCATATTTAAATGACAACGGTAGGCCTCATACGTATTTCGAAAGCAGTGTTACTTGTATAATTTATTGATTTTCAAATGTAATACATAATATAATTGTATATAACTGAATATATTTTATTCAATATAGAAAACAAATAGTTTTTATTAAATGTAATTTTTGACTTTTACCTTTTTTATTACGTTACGTTGGTAAATTATACAAATTACAAATATGGTACATGTACATGATGATCTTCAAGACGGAGACTCGGCGTCCTAAAATACATGCATAAAGCCCAAGCACCGGTGTACAACGGGCGTAATAATTTAAAATTACGTGCAATTATTTAATACTGTGCTTAAAATGTAAAACTAAAAATTAGATTGAATTAGAATAACCTTATAAATTATACTGTATTGTCCTATTGCAGTCGTCGAGAAAAATAATATACATAAATAATAAATAATTAGCAATCGTCTACTGGCAAGCGCAACTTTAGGCGAGCTCCTATTAGATGGAATTGAAGGCCTCATGAAACAATCAGACTTAGGACCGTACTTTGTGACAATCTATACCTGAGGTCTGGGCTGACTTTGTTGTTGTGTGTAGTAAGAATACAAAATTGTAGTTAAAACTACTTATATCTTGTAGAATTTCAAAAGTCCAGATGTAAAAAATGTTAAAGCAAGTTTTCTTTCGACATAGCTTTTTCGATTATTCTTAACTAGCTCAATTTAAGCATAGCACAGTGGCATTGATATCGCTGAAAGATCTCGTGAATAATGAGTATACGCGTATCTTTGTACTAACGATCGTCCCATTAAACAAACAGTCCGTAACGATATCGCCCATATTGAATTCCAACGAAATTTCTTCCTACTTCATAATGAGTAAATTACCAAGTCATTGATCATTTCGCCGCCAATTATAAAACATCAAATCTCTAGAAAATTAAAAGGGACATACAACTAGCGGTCCGCCCCGGCTTAGCATGGATGATTTCTGGATCTTGACAACAGTGCCATCTACCGGGTACTATTGTGAATTTACATCATCCAATCATTACCTCGTTTAAACACAAAAACCTTTACCTTCATAAAAAACGGTCCAACTGTTAAGAAGTTAAGTTTAGAGTGAATAAAAAATACAACAAGTTTATTCACTTAAAAATTATTAAATTTTTAAGCTGTCTCAGATTATCGAAATTCTTATGAGATTATCGTATTTCTTCTTTATCATGGGGGAATTTTATGTACATAAACTACATATAACACCTGTAATAATTTTTGTAGGTCATGCAAAGACCTTGTTCGATGTGAGAATCGAACTTGCGGCCTGCACTCTAACGCTTAGCTAGCGTGCTACCGAGTTGTCAGTATTAAGAGTAATATAGTCAATGGTTTTAAGTTAGTAATTTTATCAGTGAGCATAAACTCTTTTATTTTACAAAGCCTTAAATTACCTCCCAATAAATCAATGTCACGTGTTCTTATAACCCGTCTTATCAGCAAAAAATCGAACAATTTTTATTTAATAACGATTATGAATAATGCTTATTGGAAGTCACTTTTTTAATTTACCACTCAAACTCAAACTTCTACTCGAAGAGAGTTATCCTTTAGTTCCCTCCAATTACAAAACGGCAGCAAGATTTAAAACGATGCATTATAGGTGTATGGGAGATTACTATCGGTAACAAATGGAATAAGTTGTGGTGGTAAAGAAAAAAAGAGACATTAGCTCGATATAATTACCCGCATTGCGATAGCAGTGACAAATTGTTCTGACGGTCTTACACTGTATACGCTGAACTCTCATAGCTGTTTTGATGTTCTTATTAAAGGAATATAATAGCTGTTACCCAACGACTTCCTCCTCGTGGAACTTATTACGATTGAATTTCATGGGTTTTATGCGCGGAACCCTAAACCTTTTTCAAAAATAAAAATAGCAGTGAAAGTCCCATCAAAATCGGTCCAGTCATTTTGAATTCCGAAACAAACAAACAGACAGATCGATAAACAGGCAATCATACAGACAAAAGTTCTTAAAATTGTTTGTTGTTATAAGTACCGTATATAATTTCATATAAGAAA